CACACACACACACACACACACACACACACACACACACACACACACACTTATGCCTGTGTGGCAAATAAACATGGAGTCTTTCTGAACCCCCAGAAAGAAGATTCTGAAAGCGAGATGCTTCTGGAAGCGTGTGCATACGGAGAGGGAGCTGTGCTTACGGCAGATAGGGAAAGAAAGAACGTGAGAGGAGATGTCATTCCGAATTTTGGACAGTTTACGAAGCTGGAGTCAGAGGTGTGCTGAGCAGGGAGAGGAGTTGCAGCCATACCCACACCCACTTACTCATAAGGAATCTTCTTGAAGACAAGGTGGTCCAGGAGGGTCAGCTGCTCTGCTATCTCCAGGGCTGAGTGGTTTTCGAAGGGCTCAGCTTTCACACCTTCTGCCTGAGGGAGCAAGGTCAAAGTCAGGCCCAGGAGGTGACATCTCTAAGCTCTAGGTATTTTTCTGAGGGGAAACCAACTATTCTTGGTTCTGGTGGGTACAGGGGATAGCAATGACAAAGCTGGGCCCCTCTGCTTGCTGCACCCTGTGTGTCTATGTATAGTGTTCCGTGCTTCCAGAGGACTCTCCTTGAAGGAGGTGGTCACCTCCCTGTAGGGAGCCACCATTGCATGTGTAGGAAGGAGGCCAAAGGCTGCCCAAGCCTCTCAGATGGAAATAGGCTGGCTGGCAGGCAAGCTCAAGCTCAGGTATCTGACTCCAGCTGTGATGGGCCACTTCCTCTGGGCTCTGCCTGGTCCTGGGTGGGTCCAAACACACTTGTTCTTTGAGACACATTAGCAGGTGTGGGTTCTTGGCTTTGATTTGGGCCTGAGGCAGTGTTCCTGTCCTGTGAGCAGAAGACAGCTGTGTGGCTCAGTCCTCAGCTACCAGGTCCCTGACTTATCAGGTTCACTCGTGGATACTGTCTTTAAGATTATCTGTCACTTGGGCCTCCTTGACCAGGGAACACCCTCAGGGAAATATTAGTCAGGGTCATGGGTATCCATGGCAGGAGTTAGATGAGGGTGGACACAGGGAGGTTGATGTGCTCAGGAGTGCCGGAAGGCCTTAGGTCTGCTGGATTTGGGGGTTGGGGGTGGGGAAGAGAGAACAGCTGTGTTGGTGCTGGGAGGAGCCTGTGTTCACTGAGGGGTGAGTCAGATTAAAGGTTTCCTGTACCTTGGGGCCATCTGGGTCATACAGGGGTAGAGGAGAGGTCTATAAGGCAGATGGGCCTGCCAATCATTCAGGATTTGTACTTTCTTGCACTCACTCTACCTCGACCAGAAGTTCCAGCAGCTGGCTGAGTGCCCAAGTGGCCCATTTGCACAGATCAAAGGGGCTGTGGGGTCCACCCACACCCAGAGAACATGCCATTCCTTGAGGCTGAGTGTTCTGTTGTCCCCCTCCCCCATTTCTTTTGCAATCAGTGAGGTCTGTGTTGCCAGGCTGGTGGCAGACACTGGAGATAGGCAGAGCTGCAAACACAGCCCAGGCTCAGGGGGTCCACACAGCAGGACCTCATGGGGTAACAGGTTCTGTGTGGTAGCAGATCAGTCATGGGTGCTTCCTGGCAATGTCACCAGGGCAGAGAAACAAAGCCCAGGTGCAGGCGTGTGGGTGTGGGGAGGATGAGTGATTAGGCAGGCAAAGGGGGTGTGGGCATGAGGGCAGAAAGGGCTTTGAGTGGCTGGGTTGTGAGGCATTTCTCCTGTGTGTTCTTGGGGGTGGACCCTCTGAAGGTGAGCAGTTAAGCCACAGTCACTCCTGAGGGTCATTTGCAGGTGTTTTAGGGCTAGGTCCAGGATGGTGGGGCTGCGAGGCTCACAGAGGAATTCAGGAGGCCATGCTGGGGTGTGGCCCAGGGGCCCAGTGGCTCTAGCTGCTTCCTAGGGGCAGGTAGCCTTCTCCTCATGTCTGATGTTGTCCAGGGACAAAGTGGCTTTGGAAGTAGGGGTCAGAATGACATCTTCTGTCACCTTCCAGAAGGCTTGTGAGAAATAAAGTGGCCAGCCACTTTCTCCTGCCATAGATGGGCCATAGATGGGCTCAGTGACCTTTTGTTCTCGGATACTTACAAAGGAAAAAGGGCCTTTGTACTCATGAAGTATAAACATTCCAGCCAGGCCCCTGTTTGCAAAAAGGAGCAGGGGGCATTCTTGACACTAGGCAAGTGGCTGGGAACACAATTCCAGAATCCGGGACCCAGAGAATCAGTCTGTAACAAGTGGTTCTGCATGTCACCATATATCCTGCTTGGAAGGAGTGGGTGGGCGGGGGAGCTGTGTGAGCTCCAGAGAGCACCAGCCATACAGGTTATTCTTGGGCCAGAATGTGGTAAGGTGCTGTGCTTCGTGGATGGTGAGTGATGAGGAGAGAGGAGCCAGAGTCCAGAGCCGAGTCACTACACTGGATACCGCTAACACACTGGTCACTGGCCTGCCTGGAGCCGAGCCGGCATGACACTGAGTCCATTTCTGGGGAGGTTCGAGTGAGTCTGTCCTGAGCATCTCCAACCATAATAATTCAGTGGCCAGGAGCTTTAGCGTGGGTCATGAAGGCATTCTGAGTATTCTGGTCAAGAGCTGGAAGCACTGGAGGCCATAAATCCCTTATGGCATACGGAATGCCATCCCTAGCTCATGTTCCTTCTTGGAGAACACAGCTCTCCCCAGCTCTCCCCCGGGGTCCTGTCATTTCAGGGCAGGTTCAGTGAGCACACTTTGAGTCCTCAGGATGAGGTGCTGTGGTATAGGGTTGAGGTTTTCTCTGTGGTCAGCTACACCTGAGTGTGAACAGTTTGGATTCCTACCATTTCCCGCTCATTTAGATCTCTGTGCCTCAGTGGCCTCATTTGTAAAATGGGGTAGTGACGAAAACTTGCAGAACTATTGACAAGTGGTCATGGGGTCTCTCAGAATCTAACGTGGTCCAGTACATAGACAACCATCAGAGGCATTTGTCACACTCCCTGAGAAGTGTGACAGAGAGGGGGAGGGGCAAGGGAGATGAGGATGCACAGCGCCTGAAGAAAAGTGGCAGTGTTACTAGTTAGACTCTGCTCCTCCCTAAAGGAGCCATTTCCTAGGCCCTGGTGCTTGTCTGCAATCTTTTCCAGTGTCATGAACTTACAATGAGGCCAGCAGGCTGGGTCCACATGACTGATGTCCTTGTAAGAAGGGAAATATGGACATAGGAAACACAGACACGTACACAGAAGAAAGACAGCACAGGGACACATTTCCTAGAGGAAATGGCACCAGGACCACGGAGACAGGAACTGGAGTGATACAGCCAGAAGCTGAGGGTCCACAGGGCTACCAACAGCTGGCAGAGCTAAGCAGGCATCCTCCTCTAGAGCTCCTGGGGAAGCGAAGCTCCGCATACACCTTTATTTCAGTCTTCCAGGATCCAGGACGGGGGAAGAGGGACACACTGCCTAGTTTTTGCGGCACTTAGGTACAAAACCACAGGAATTGGATGCAGGTGATGACTATGCTGGGTCAGGGGGGTCAAGGGGCAATGAGGGTGTGGAGGCGGTTGCCTTGGTGATCAATGAGATGGCCACCCTGCTCACCATCTGTGTGATCTCTTCCAGCGTGATCTGGTTGTCACCTGGGTCGTCCTGGGTCAGAGTCCTAGGGAGAGGAAAGTATGTGAGCCCCAGTATACCCCTCTGTGTATGCATATGCTGGGACCCAGAGAGACACGGGCAGGGACCTCTGAGGTCAGGCTAGGCCTGTGGCAGGCACTTCTGTGTGCACATGGAATGACGGGATGCCCATGGTGAAGTACTGTCCGGCTTGGAGGGCCAGAGTGGGCAGATGTTTCTAGGTGGGATGGCCCTCAGATCTGGCTTGATCAGAGATAAGGTGACACAGCAGAATGGAGGCCCAAGAGCGCAAGGCACGATTGTGTTGAGAGCAGAGTGAGGGAGGATATGGCCAAGCTAACTAGAGCGAGTCCTGAGCATTAGTGGAAAGTGAGGGCAGACCCCCCACCCCAGTCAGACCAAATCTTCACTTGCTTGGAAATCTTCACGGGCATGGAATGACAATATTGGAGTAGATAAAATGGCGGGCTCTTGGTGACTGGCCAAGGGCCAGGCCACACACAGAGTAGATGACAAAGGGCCATGGTATCCTAGGACTTTGAACACAGTGGAGTGATGAGGCTTGTACATGGGGCCTTTTGGTTAGGAATGGGGCTGGAGACTTGGGTCCTAAGCAAGAAGAGCCTAAGCTGGATGTGGTAGGAAATCTGGGGCAGATGCAATGGCTGGGGTGTAGAGAAGTCTGGCTGGAAGTAAAAAGGGGAAGCCTCTTCAGGCAGGGCTGGAGAAGCCAACCTGGATGGGAAGAATAAGAACAGGGTGCTCATGTGCCGATGCCATTGACCTTCTGAGAGCCTGCAGAAGCCACATGCAGCATGTTGCTTCACCCTTACTACCTACACCCTTGAAGCCAGCATTGTTCACCCCTTTTACAGAGGAGAAAATAAGGTTTGGCTAAGGGCCTTACTCTGGTCCACAGTGAGTCACTGGCTGAGATAGCTTGGATGTGGGACTGTGTGAACCTTGACTTCTGCTAAAAGAGGCAGGCTGCAGCACAGGTCTGAGGACAAACACTTTAACTGAGTTTAAACCAACAGACACTCCCTGGCTGCCTATGAACACTGAGGAGATGGGCTGGCCCACGCTGTCTAAGATAGGAGCCTCTAGCCAACTGAAGCTCTGGGGACTGAGGGACATAATTTTATTGTGCCCAGTGTTAGCTCTCTGAGATTGTCTGTAGCTAGTACCTATCACATCGAAAAGCACACGCCGGACAGCTGTTAGCAGACATGTACATACATGGAGAAGGGGAACAATCCCAGCTCTCAACCCCAATAGGGTCTCATGAGGTCCAGGATGGCTTTACCATGTAGCCAAGGATGATCCTGCCCTTCTTTCTCATCCTTCTGCCTGCCAAGTGCTGAGATTACAGCCTGAGAGATGGGCTTACAGGCATGCGCCACCACACTCGATACACCCCTAGCTATGTCAAGGTCTGGTGAGGGGTGGGGAGAAGAGAGGGATAAGTACATGGAGCTCCCACTCCAAGCTTGGCTACAAAGTAAGGCATAGGGGCCCCCAGAAGTCCTGGGGCTTACATGTATCCTGATATACTGCCTGCCCAGGCTGGCTAACTATGGAGGTCCAGGGCAGGGCCCTGTCCCCAAGGTCATCATAAGCAGGAGGGCCATGCTGCTCTTACCTGATGATGTTGGCCGCTGCCTTCCGCTCCTGTGTCAGAAGCTCTGGGTCACGCATGACCTCTTCCAGGAAGCTGATCACCTTGCTTTTGAGCTTACTGTTAGTTTCAAAGTCCTGTGGGAGGATGGGTGGGTAGCTCTGGCTATAATTACCAACCTTCCCTGCAGTACTCTGGGGCCAGGCGGAAGGAGGGAGTTTCTATTTCTGCCGTGTTTTCCTTATCTGGTTGCTACTTCCTGGAAGGCCACAAGCCTCTGAGGCACAGGGTGCTGAGACAAGACCACCCCTCAGCTCTTGTTCCCATAGTTTAGGGAGGACCAACCCTACCTGTACTCTACCTGGAGACAAGTGGCCCAAACAGAGGCCCTTTGTCTTCTTGACTGTCCTTGCTTATTTGCCCTGGGTAATTTGAGTGGGTCCTCTTGGAAAAATGGGGTTTCCATCCTCCTGTTGACCCACTGTCTGCTTTCATTTACTGCCACTGGGAGGCAGTTGTTCCTGGAGCAGAGACCCACCCACCTGAGAGTGCTTGGAGACCCAGTGGCGGAGCACATTCAGCACACGATTCGTGGCAGCTCTGCGGATCACAAACTCCTTGTCGCCATTTCTCTGGTCAGGGGGGAACCCTGGCAGTGCTGGTGGTAGAGGGAGAGGAGGACAGGAAGTGGTGCTTGTTTAGCTGATGTGGTTCATCCATCGTCCTTGGAGGGAAACCCTTAACAACTGGATTCGGACCCAGGTGAGAGGCCAGGAAGCCTCAGGGGAAACAACACTTCAACACCCAACTTCTGTCACACCTGCTCCATCTAGAAGGTTCAGGGAGTTTTCCCCAACAAGATTATACAAGCCACCAGAGACCAGAACTCTCCAGGACCCCTCTTCTAACCTTTGGTGTGGAACCGTTGCTGTGGAAGTGGGTGGTGGGAGGAAGGGTGCCGAGGGCTGTCTCGATTGGCGTTCTTTGCTGTCAGGAGAATTTGACCAAGGACCAAAGGGGACTGGGTAGGAAGAAGCGGACTCCAGGATGGCAGGACAGCACTGGCGGAGCCTGCAGGAAGAGAGGGATGAAGTGGGTAGTAGTAGTTCAAACTGGATGGAGGTGAGGGTAAATCTAGGGGTGTGTGCGTGCGTGCTTAGTGGATAAGCTAAGACTGCCCTTCTAGAGGTTGACAAGCCACAGAGCTAAGACTTTATCCCACTGATAATGAAAAGTGGGAAGGAAGAGGGCAGCCGTGCTGACTGTAGGCATGGGTGAGCAGAGTCTAGCTGGTGCAGAAAGAGGCACTCCATCCCTGCCTCAGTGAGAGGAAGGCCAACAGGGTAAATAACAGAAAGCAAGGCTTCAAGCGCAGTGTGTGAGGATAGCTTGCTGGAGCAGGGAGCTCTCCAGAGCCACACTGTAGAAGGGCCCACCTTGGCATCTGCAATGCTCACCAAACACCTGAGGAAGGGCAGGTCCCATGCCTGTGGCTGTCACCCCTGACACAGGACCATGGAGAAAGGAAGTACCCATAAGCAGAGATGTCCACACACCTGTGGTGGCCAAGGACATCCTTCGGTACTTCTCCTTGTTTGGGGTGCCCTCGTTGGCCCCCGCAGTTGCTATGGCAAAAGCAGAGGCCGCTGAGAGGGCACTGCGGTTATTGTCCAGTTCACGACATGAGGTCATCACGACTCCATTGTTATAGTTAAAGAGTGGAAACTCTGTGGGGGGGGGGGGGAGAGAGAGAGAGAGAGAGAGAGAGAGAGAGAGAGAGAGCTGACCCTTAGCCATTCCTCAGCCCTTTAGGCTGGCAGACATGCAGGTAGCTGGGAGACAGCCCAACCTCAAAAGCCCAGGGCTGGAAAGGGGCTCAGAGGGTTGTGCGTATGTGTGTGTGATGTATGTATGTGTCTGTTCCCTGTAAGAGTCATGCCACAATATTCCTAGACCTGTCCCAGGCCAGGCAGGCTCAGCTAGTCTCTTGCTCTTAGAAGACCGAGAGCCACCTTTTTTTTTCTCTGAGGCTTCCAGCACTGTCACGTCTTGGCCTGTCATGAACCATCTTGTGCTTTCAGTGTACTGGGAACTGACACACAGCCCATTCAAAATCTGGTAATTCCTATTGATAGGGTTATGGGTCTGGTGGGACTAAGGTTGTGTTTTACTTGAGGACTTTCTGCCTGGGTTGAAATTCTCCTTCAACTCTGGAGCCTCAGGAATCTCCTTTAGACACATGTCCAGAGGTTCATATAAAAAGGAGATCACAGAAGAAAGTACAAAATAAACATGGAGATCTATTGATTGGTAATAGCCATGAGGTTCAACTCCAGAACTATGGCTTCATCTTACAGGATTCTGGAAAGCAACCTATATCGTCACAGTGAAGTACCAGTCTTTGAGCCATGAAGGACAACTGGCCTTGCTGTAAAGACTCTGAATAATCTCCGCCCCCCCCCCCCCGCTTTCCTTTTCCCTTTCCTTTCCTTCCCTTCCCTTCCATGCTCTTCTTTCTGTGAGATGTCTCCTCTCTGAAATAAACTCCCTCTCTTCATCTCTTTCTCTTTCTGAGACAGCATCTCATCCCGTGTCCCTCAACTCCCTGTTTGCTCTCAGTTATATGGCCAAACTGCCTTGAACTCTCTCTGTAGCCCAGGCTGGCTTGGAACTCCCCATTCCCCTGGTGCAGGCTCTCAAGTGTCTCAAGTGCTGGGATTACAGGGGTCACTCACAGCTGGGCCTCAACACTTGTTTCTGAAAATGGGCTCTTCAACTGCTGTGTCTGAGAAACCAGGCAGGGTTGCAGGACGCTCAGGTATCTTTCTTCTAAAGCTGGGCAGCTTTGCTTCTTACTGGGTTTCCTCCCAATTCCCCGCCCCGCCCCCCATGGGCAGCAAGGGATTCTGGGATTTGGGCTGCCCCTTGCATGTGGAACAAGAGCTTGGAAAAAGTTTCTTTCTTTGGGAGGCAGGAAGACTGTCCTGGTAACTGAGGGCCCCTGAGTCCTCTCCCACCCTTGGGTGTCCCAGAGCCCTTTTCCTCAATCTGTGATGGTACAGATAGAACACAGAACCTTAAATATGTCAGAAAAGCACTCTACCACTGAGCCATACCCCAGCCTTGCTTCCCTTATTCAAGGAGAAGAACAGCCTAGGTTCTCTTCATGCATGTTGAAAGGATGAAAGAGCCCACTGCACAGCCTGAAACATGAAATTCCGGGAAACATTTCTGACTTGAGCTCCTCCATGTGACAGCCCAGGCTTCTGGGTCACTGGTTAGACAACGCAGTCCTGCCTGGAGTTGGAGTGACTTCACAAGCTGGCAATCAGGGCCTACCCAGCCAATGTCCCATCCCTGGGGGCCATGAAATAGAACAGTCGTTGCCCTCAGGAGTCCCTTATAAAACAGGGGCAACACCAGCATGCCTCCCCTTGATATGACTTTCCCCTACCACCTGCCCAACATCCACCTGCAGCTCCACCCTGGGGAATGGTACCTGAAGAGTTTTTGTTTTTGACTGATTTTGGTGTTGATGGAGATTTAGTTGGTGATGCCTCAGTGTCACCTTCGTCACTCTGGTTCTGGTCAACATCAGACTCTTCTTTCACGGAGACCTCAGAGCCTAGGGGAACAGAAAGACTCACACTCTTCTTAATTATTCATTGATGGGAAAACTGGCATCTATAATATATCAAAGCAAAGCAGAATGCGTAGCAAGAGCCTGGTGCCCTGGATGAAGACCATTAAATGGCTTAGTTGCCAGAGGCTTTATCAGAACCTTTCACATGGATGGTGTGGACCACCAAGATGGTTTTTTCTTTACCAGGACTTCCAAAAACTTAATGGACACACCTAGGTTCTTGTAGAATGCAGATTGTGGGGCTTAGGGATATAACCCAGTGGTAGAGTTCTTGCCTAGTCTAGCATACTTAAGGTCATGGGTTCCGTCCTCAGTGATAGGGGTAAGGTTAGGTTGTAATACAGCTCCTGTCTACATGGGACAGGAAAGTCTTTCCTTCTTTTTTTTTTTTTTTTTTTTTTTTTTTTTTTTTTTTTTTTTTTTTTTTGAGACAGGATCTCGTGTCTAGGCTAGCCTTGAACTTAGTATGTAGCTAAGGATGACCTTGAATTTCTGATTCTCTTGCACCTACCCTTTAAATTCTGGGATTACAGGCCTGCACCAATCAGACCAGATTTTATGTGGCACTGGAGATTTAATCTAAGGCTTTGTGCTGGACAAGCACTCTCTAACATTTTTTTTTAATTGAAAATATTTTCACATAATATATTCTGATTATGGTTTCCTCCAGCTCCTTCTTTATCCTCTTCACCTCCTCATCCACCCAAATCACACCCTTTCTTGCTCCATCTCATTAGGAAATGGACATATAAATAACAATAACAACAAAAAACAAACAATACAGAAAAAAAAGAGCCAAAGAAAAACCACAAGAAATACACACAGACTCTGAGACACACACATTCAAACACACAAAAATCCCCTAAGAACACAGAATTGGAAAATGTAATTATGTAAGCCCAGACAAAGCATTATGAGACAACAAAATTCCAAAAAATCCCATTGAGCTCATTTGGTTTTGGCTTCTGCTGCTGGGGGTGGGCCCTGTCCTGAGGCGTGGCTTGTACACATCAAGCTGTGATCAACAGCTTCTGGGTTAGAGAAGGGGGCTAGGCAAGCACTCTTATCAGCCGAGCTACATTTCCAAACCTAGATGTCTGCATTTCTAACAGGCTTCTACTGATGCTCACGTGGCTGAGCAACAGACCACACTGAGTAATAAGGTGTTTCTGGTTTTCGTGGGAGATCTTGTTTAGCCACCTGTCTCGTTTGCCAAGGGTAGCCCTGTTTTTATATCTCACCTCTTGCTTCTGATCTGAAATAAGTATTAGTCTTCTAACGATGGGAAAGTCAGGGCTACATACTCTTTGTACAGTGAGTTTTTGCTACTAAAAAATTATTTGTGTGTGTGTGTGTGTGTGTGTGTGTGTGTGTGTGTGTAGGTGTGTGCGTGTTTAGGTGTGTGAAAGCCAGGAGTTGACATCAAGTGCTTTCCTTAATTGTGCTCCACTGAATTTTTTGAGACAGGGTCTCTCGCAGGTCAGTTGAACTGGCTGTCAAATGAGCCCCAGGGAGCCTCTGTCTTCTTAGCACTTGGGACTACAGGGCTGTGCCTCTGAGCCTGGCTTTTAATGTAGGTACTACTGAACTCAGGCCCTCATGCTCATGTGGCAAGCACTTTGTCAACTGGAGCCATCTTCCCAGAGCCTCTGTGGGTGGGGGGGTGGGGGGTGGGGGGCGAGTAACCTCTCCGGGTCTCATTTCCCCAACTAGAAGGTGAACACACTTGAGCCTGTGTCTAGGCCTGAATATAAAACCCATTGGAAGCTACATGTCTCTTTAGAAAAGCCCACCCAACACAGAAGCACAGAGAGACTGGGGGTCCCAGGATCACTCATCGAGAACTTTGGTACCAGGTGGTTTTGTAGAACTGACTAGGGCCTCATTCCACAAGGTAACGAAAGGGATCCCACTGCAGGCTTGTGCTGGACAAAATTCTGAGCCTCGCATGTCGCCTCTCTAGTGATCCCATACATCATAACACTGGATGGTATTTGGGTCCTCTGGCGAGCTGTCACCTCAGCTACCAACTTTCAGCTGAGGGAGACATGCACATCACATATTTGTTGCGTGAACCATGGAAATGTCCTTAGTGGTGGAGCCTTGGTGGTTTCTCTTCTTCCCAGTTGTGCCCTTTTCAAAGGCTGGGGCTTGTGATCAGCTCAAATATGTATACACATACACATTTACACACACATGCAGACCCACTCACAGATACACACATAGACACAGAGACACGCAGGCACACACAGACACACATGCACACACACACACACACACACACACACACACACACACACACACACACAGCAAGACTATGCTGGTAGCTCCCAGCATATGGCCTGATCTGAGCTAACTCAGAACCTAATGGGTCCCTTCTAGAGTGCTCAGGAAAGGCTGTAGATAGGAAGGCACTGGCTGCCCCAGCAGGGATCTTAGGCCACTGCCACCACCTTCCGTGTTTCGGTGTGCTGAGCTGTTGAGCATACAATACCTTCCTCATTCTCCAGCATTTTACATTTCGTTATTTTTGTCTAGAATATTCTCCCTTTTTACTGGTGAGCATCAAATCTGACAGATCTATTAGGAGCCTTCTCTGGCTCCCCTGATGGTGGTCCCAGCCTATCCTTTCTAGCACCTTTCAAATGTTAATACGTATCAGTGTTTGGTCTGGTCCCCAAGCTAGACTATGATTGGTGAGGGCAGGGACCAAAGATGATCTGGATACAGGGATGCAGGATATTACTGGGGTAGGGAGAGGGAAGGCACAAATCTGAGAACTTCAGCTGAGACTTATCTAAAGCATGATGATATCCTCAGAGTTTCTGCTGACCTCACCTTGGCAACCCATCACCTCCACATGGCTACCAGGCTGCACTGCCCATATCCTGCACAACAGAAGCCTTGCAGGCCCAGCCTAGCCAAGCCTCATGGCGGTGAGTGCTAATGGGCTGTTTCTGCTCATGCATCCACTTACTCTGCTTGCTAAGTGCTGAGGGCTCCTCAGATTTCTCTGGAGTTGGAGCTGGAGTTGGGGTCTGGGTTGGAGTCCGGGTTGGGGTTGAGGTTGGGGTCGGAGTCAGGGTGGGGGTCTGTGCTGGGGTAGGAGTTGGAGTTGGGGTTGGATTGGAGGTCTGGGTTGGGGTAGGGGTGGGAGTTGTGGTAGTGGTAACGGTTGTGGTTGTCATCGTTGTCGTGGTTGTAGTCGTATCGGCCTCGTCTGGAGTCTTGTTGGAGAAGCTGCTGGTCACACAGAGCTTGCTGGTGTCCAGTGTGGCTTTGCTGAAGGGAGACATGGGGGAGTGCAGGCTGTTGTAGCCATTGGAGTTGCAGCTGAGTGCAGCCAGGTCCAGCGCCTTGCCACCTGTGATGATGGGGATGTTGAGGGACAGCTTCCGCCGACGGCTTGGGGACGATGTGCTGATGGACAAGGGTGGTGGTGAGGAGAACTTGCGGGTGGCACGAGGGGACTTGGGGGGCTCTCCATACAGAAGCTTGTTGTTCTGGCCGCTGGCAAACAGGAGCTCCAGTGACCTGTGGGGAGGGGAGGGAAGAGGGAGAAAGCCATTGGTATACACTTGCCCATCTGGCCGGCTTCCTATAGGGCTCAGAGTGGCTGGCAGTGTCTCCCTTATGTGCACAATCCCTGAAGACTGGGGTGTGTCCATACCCAGGATTGTGATTAGAGGGCTTGGGGACAAATGTCTATACCCGTAAGGGTTGATTAAGCTGGGTGACTGGTGGTGGGGATGGTTTTACCTGATGGTTCTACCTCAGCCTCTGTCCTGAGATGCTACAGGTTCTAACTGCAGGCCTCTGCAGAGCCTCCATCCACCCACACCAGGCTGCTCTCACCTGCATGCTCTGCCCTTGTCCTGACAGTGGTCCTAAGGGACACTCTGTGGGTGAGGAAGCAGCTGCTCAGGGAGAGGGTAGTGACTCATCTGATGCCTCTGACGTTAAACCCGGTGTCTCCACCATGGCACCTGAGGCGTTTCACGTGTCCACTGGGTTTGGAGTGGGTGGAAGTGCAGCAGCTTAGCAATCCCGAGGCCAGGTCTGCATTTAAGGCCACCTCAGCCACAGACTTGCAGGGGCTTTGTGGGAAGTCTCTTGGCCTTTCCGGGCCCTAGCTTGCCATTAGAGAGCTTCAGTGATGTAAGTATGAAAGATAGCCTCAAAGCCAAGGTGGCTAAAGGTTCACTAGAGAATGTATGTTGAACACATCATAAAGCACTCCTCCTCTCTTTAAAGCATGATGGACATACACAGGGAAGGGGTACCTTCCTGCCTCCCTTCCCTCCTTCTTTCTGTGAAAGGTGGGTCCTGGGTTTCCCAAAGGGATGTAGGGAGGGGAGAGCAATAGCTATCCCTTGGCTTCCCTGACCAAGGCAAGTGGGGGAGTAAAGGAGGCCTAGTGAGCAACAGCGTAGATGGCCAGGCTTTGAGGGACTCTGAGCTATGGGGAAGGGGGGAACAGCAGAGTGACCCCGTCCATAAAGAGTGCAGTCTTCTGAGGCAGAGCTCTAACAGTTTGTGCAACCACGGATGACCTTGTGCTTCTGTTCTTCCCACTAACAGCCCCAGAGCTTTGGGATTGCAGGCCTGGACCACCATGCCCACTTTCCTTCGGAAAAGAAACAGTCTTGAAATGTACCCCCTTTGTGGTCTGAGAATGATGTATGCCAATGCATCCTCACTTCTGGGACAGCCTTTTTCCCAGAGATCTCATTGGCCTGAAGTCTGTGGGTTCAGGAGGAGGTGCACATACTTAGATGGGATTCTTTAAAAAATGTTTTTCACGTTTAATTAGTTAATGTATTTGTGTGTGTGTGGGCATGTTCAGGTCATAGAGAGAATGTGAATGTCAGAGGACAACTTGGGTTCTCTCTCTCCACCATGTGGGTTTCAGGGGTTGAGCTTAAGTCATCAGGCTTGGTGGCAGGTCACTTTACCCACTACACCATCGTGCCAGAGTCCGGGGATTCTTGTAGATAGTGATGGCAAGGAGTGTGCATGCACCTGGCGGGGATGGCACTGATGGGCTTCTTGTAGATGGTGATTAGCTTGTCTAGGACCACCACGGCGGTAGTGAAGACTCGATAGGAGTGCAGGAAGGTGTTGAGAAAGTCAATGCTGAGGAAGCGAAGGTCTGTCAGGCGCTCCAGCAGCCGCTCCACGCTGGCGTACCGGATCTGCAGCACTTTGCAGGAATTCATGGTTTTGCTGAAGCGAATGTCAACATCATCACAGTATAAGGAGGCATCAGACCTGCAGAGGCGGAAAGCAGGCAGGGAGAGGTGACATGTGTGCCAGAGTCAACATCATCCAATATAAGGACGCACTGGACCTCAGGACTGAGAGAGGAGAAAGAGGTGACAAATGTCTGTTTGTACTGGCAATCACTTAGGCCCATGGTGTCTCTTCACCAGGCCAGGGCTGAGGCTACCCACCAGGCCATCTTGTCAACCCCCACCTCCCAGTCAAGAACAGTTCTACCCAAAACTTCAGAAGAAAAACACCAAGAAAGAGTTGTAACTCCTTCAGTATACAGTACCCAGCCCCACAACAGTATCAGAAAAATACAACAAACTTCAAAAAACATGCTTCCAAACTCCCAAAACACACAAGAATTCCATTTACATAAAAATCTGTGTGTTTATGTTTACAGTGGCATTGTTCATAATAGAGCACAGTGGAAACAACTCACAAATGTCTACCAGCAGATGACCGGACAAATAAAATACAGTGGGATGTTACTCAGCCATGAAAAGAAATAAAGGAAGGACACATGCTACAACATGGATGAGCCTTGAAGACATTATGCTAAGTGAAACAGGCCATGGACACTGCGGTTTCACTTATAGGAAAGCACAGAACAGGCAAATCACAGGAACAGGGAGTAATCCAGTGAATGTTTGGTAGGCACATTAAGACTGACTGTTCATATGTGTTTCATCTCTTCTTTCGGACGGGGTAGGTGATGGAAATATTTCAGAAGTAGGTGCTGGTGTTAGTTGTATAACATAGTGAATATACTGAAATCTACTGAATTGTACTTTTAAAGAAGAGAAACTTGTTATGTGAATTCATCTCAAATAAAAAAATAAACAGGGTCAGGTGTGGTGGTACACACCTTTAATGTCAGCACTTGGGAGGCAGAGTGGGGTAGATCTCTGTGAGTTCAAGGCCACCTCAGTCTACATAGTAAGTTCTAAACCAGCCAGAGCAGCACAGTGAGACAATATCTCAAACAAAACAAAACAGAAATGTAACACAGGGTGGGGGTTTGAAAAGATTCAAGAGAAATCTCAGTGTTCTGAGAGAAGAGAAAAATAGACAACTAGCTGTTATTTTTGTTGCCTGGAGGTGCCTCTGGAATTTGGAAACTGGTTTTCTAGGTTTTAATGGGAGCCTGACCTGCTGTGCAGGAAGCTGGCTGACAACACCGCGTCAATTTGGGATCCAGAAAGGGTACAACTTTCAGAGAAAGATAGTTTTTCCCTCAACTTTTCAGAGAGGGAAAAACCCGTTCTCCAGCAGAAAGGGACGTCTTTCTGATGTGGCTAGGGCTCCAACTCTTATCGTGGTCTTGAAGTACAATGTGCTAATGTTGTGGTTTGTGTTCTTGAGTCTAAGAGTGTAAAGTGGTGTCACCAATTCTACATCTGACAAAGGGCTAATATCCAGGATATATAAGGAGCTCAAGAAACTGAACATCAACAAACCAAATAATTCAATTAAAAATGGAATACAGAGCCAAACAGAATTCTCAACAGAAGAATCTCGAATGGTGGAGAAGCACTTAAAGAAATGCTCAGCCTTTTCAGTCATCAGGGAAATGCAAATCAAAATGACTCAGAGATTCCATCTTACACCTGTCAGAATGGCTAAGCTCAAAAACTCAAGTGACAACACTTGTGGAGAAAGCAGAAGCCTCCTCCATTGCTGGCGGGACTACAAACTTGTACAGCCACTTTGGAAACCAACCTGTCACTTTCTCAGAAAACTGGAAATAGCCATATTTCAAGACCCAGCTATACCACTCCCGGGCATACACCTGAAAGATGCTACACCATACAAGGACATTTCGTCAACTATGTTTATAGCAGCTTTTTTCGTAATAGCCAGAAACTGGAAATAACCTAGATGTCCCTGAACCGAAGAATGGATAAAGAAACTGTGGTACATTTACACAATGGAATACTACTCAGCCATTAAAAACAAGAAAAGCATGAAATTTGTAGGCAAATGGATGAAACTAGAAAAGATCATCCTGAGTGAGGTAACACAGACCCAGAGAGACACACATGGTATATATTCACTTATAGGTGGATTTTAGTCATCTAGTACAGGCTAGAGACACTACAATGCACCAACCCCAAGAAGATAAGTCCGATGGGCATCTTAGGCTTCATGTGGGCCCACTAGCATGAAGGGGTGTGGAGGATATCTTTGACATGGACTATGTTGCTTGCTTTTTGGTCACTTCCCCTTAATGGGGTTTCCCTACCAGGCCACTGAGTTTGAAGACAAACTCAGTCCCCATGTGAAGAGATGAGCTGGGGTGTCTGGGTAGGGGATGTGGGAAGGAGGGTGAGAATGGGAGGAGAGGAGGGAAGGGCATATGAATGAGATGTAAATTGAATTAAAAAAAAAGACCTGGTACACCATAAAACGTAATTCTGCCAGATGGGCACGGTTGCCTGAGGTAGCAATTATTAAAAAAGAACAACACTGGTGTACTCGAGAAATGACTGGCAATATCAGAGCTGTGTAAATTTGCCATTTGCCCAAATGCCCAGACTTGCAGTCTCCCGTCTCTGTTTCAATTGTTCAAGGACATTTAAGAAAGATAGTGCATTTGGAATGGGTAAGCCAAAGTTGTATACAGGCTGGTAAAACCTGTTGAAGGATTGTTCCCTGTTGCGAATTAGCCAGAACCAGTCACGTGGGTGGAATTATTAAAGGGTTTTTCCTTCCTCAGCCTTTAATGTGCAGTGATTTCTCACTGTGGAGACATGTAACAGAGCACACAGTAGGCTCATCGCATGCTTGCCTTTATCTGGTGGCAGGTGTGAACAACGGGCATCTGCCATTCTTCAGATGCTAAGTCCTGTGGTATGTACTGTCCCAGGGCACTCACTGGAAATAGGGGAGGGGCCAGCCATAGTCATCACAGGCCAGGGGGCGGTAGGGGGCCTGGGAGGTAGGTACCCAGTGACATCATCAGGCTTGGGATTCGGAGGTTGACATGGGATCCAGACAGCCAAAGTGCTGCAGGATAGGGACAGGAAGGTGAGAGAGGCACCCTGGGAAGTGGGAGTCAGTGGACAAAAAATGTTCCAGGCTGTTTATGGAAGCTGTGCTATGAGAGTGCAGGGGCCGGGAAAACTGTGTCCGGCAGGACACTATTCCCCTTGTCCCGAAGGACCATTCAAACAGATACAGTGGCCCTGTAACTCCATCCTGCAATTAGGTTTTTATTTAGTTTTGAAATGTTCTATTTATTTTGTGATTGTAAAAAAAAAAAAATCCTTAGGAAAGACTATGTAAAATTTTCAGTCCTAATATTATGTTTTAAATAGCCCAATATGAAAAAATAAGTAACATGTAGATAAAAATTTATTTAAAAAGAAGCCAACATGTGCAAAGCCAACTAATCACGACAAAAGCTACACCAAAGCAGCCACACAGACAGACATTAACTCAAAATATGAAACCACCCCCATCCCCATCATAAAACACGGCATCTTTCCAGCCCCAGGGGCTGGCCCTGGCCGGGTTCTAGTGAGTCTGAGTGGTGCTCAGTTTCTAGAGACAGGCCAAGGGCACTTACTTGATCATCTGTGGCACGGTGACCTTGGAATTTTCTTCAAATGCATTCATCATGAGCCCGTTGCACCTAATATTATCCACGCACTGGAAACAGAGGGGACCCGAGGCTCAGAACCCAGTCTCCTTACTGGGACCCGACCCACCTGGAGCTCTCCCAGCTGAACACAGGGCCCTTAGGCTTCAAGGGCACTGCCTGGACAAGGGCAAGGCCAACACAGCATCGTTTAAATTTTGGAAGCCAAGTGACCTTGGAGGACTGACTTGGCCCTCTTGAGTCTGTTTCCTTATCTGCCTGGGCGGGTTTAATGGCTCCTGCTTTACCAAGCAGATGCACAGGACTCTGCCACTTTGCTGCTTTATTGGGGGCTGGTGTCAGGGATGAGGCTGCCCTGCGGTGATCTGGGCTCTTGGCAAGCTGCCTCATGAGCCTCTGCACCAGTGTGTACAGTACATGTGCCCTCTGCCCCACCCCCCAGTGCCAGGGCTCCGGTGCTTGAGGTGGTTCCTACGTTTCCAGTCTATACACGAGCAGTGCCAGGGGTGGGTCGCAATGCAGGCTGGTAGCAGGGATGATGATGGGGTATTTACCCATCTCTGAAAAAAAATTCAAAAGCCAAATTCGCCTTTGAATACGAACCTTCCCGAACAACAGTAAAAGATACCTCTCCTGTGCCTAGCGAAGTGCTCCATGCCTGTAATCCGGCACTGACGAGGTTGAGGCAGGGGGATCACAAGTTTGAGGCAGGCCTGGGCTATAGAGTAAGACTGTCTTCGAAACTAAAACAAAACCAACCAAATACGGAAAATTAATCCAGGCGAGAGGCCTTCTAGCCCTCTGCCCAGTGGCTTAACATTTCTTGCTGTGGAGAGGACCCTCCTAGATCCAGGTTGCTGAATCTCCATGTATATCACAGAATCTTATGGCCTCGAGGTTGTGTGTTAGTAGAAGCCAGTGCTAAGGTCACTGGAAAGTGAAAGCTGGCACAGTGGGTGGTAGGTGTCCCCAGGCCCAGTCCCCATGTCAAAGGCTGGCCAACAGAGGAAGTAGCACAAAGAGATTTCCGGTCTGCTCTCTCCATCCACCACTCTCTTTTGAGCACAACCTGCAGCAAGCTCCAGAGTGCTGAGGAGACAGCAGAGGACCCTGAGAAGCTGCCAGGATGGCTCTTCAAGGAAAGAAGCTTGGTGACCCATATTCATGAGCATCAATGTTGCTAGAGGGTAAAGGACCCTGTGGATCCTGTTAAGAGAGCAGTCAACCTTTGATGGACACAGTCAAGGATTGGGTTTGATCTATCCATTTTCTCCAGGATATGCTGGTTTTTTTTTTTTTGGGGGGGGGCGTATATGCAAAATTCAAAAGAATATACATACTATGCAAAATCCCACCGTGCCTTGGTCCACCATGGGTTCAGGAGGGGTGGGTTGCCTAGCCACCTTGATATGACCTGGACCTAGCAATGCTGATATCTGTAACTTTTATGGACTGCCCAGACATATAGTTCAATTTAGAGTTCCACAATATGAAAGTGAAACCTTGGAAGGGTCTTTCAACTCTCTTTTTCACTTCAGTGCTGAAGATTGAACTCTGCTTTGAAGGAAGGACCAGTGGTAAGAAGGCAGGGAGCTGGTGAGGAAAGCCTTTTGGGTACAGTGGGTACCCTGCTCTTCCAGGGTCCTGTAGGCACAGGGACCCAAAACACAGGGAGGAGAGCCAGCCATAGCTGTTCTTTCTGCTACCAACTGGTCTCCTACCACGCCCACCCAGCTCTGCAGAAGGGATGGCCGCAGGCAGACATTCTGGGATCTGGCTCCTGCCTTGGAGGTGGGATGAGACTGCCCTTTGCCTTCTGGAACCCAAGCTACTGACAGCCCTGTTAGCAGATTCAACTTTCCACCTATTGTACTTTTAGTGTCCCAACGTGTTGGGCTGCTGACTTTCCTGGAGAAGCCAACGCTTCCTGCTTAATGGTTAAATGGGGTCTAGAGAACAACTCTACTTCTTGCAACAGACAAAGGCCAAAACTACATCTTTCTCTGCCCTGTGGATGCTGGCTTGGACTGCAGAAGGCCTGCCTGGTTCACTGGAGAAGGTTCTTACATGCCTCAATCTGTGGAGCTCTCTCTTCAAGCTCTGCTGCATCTGATCTCCTTAGATGGTGGTGCCAAGACTTTTTGTGTGTGTGCATATAAGGACCTGGAGATCAGACTGAAGTGCAGGCACCCTTGCCATTCACAGGTCTGGGGAGTGGAAAGCAGAGCCTGACAGTCTTAAGGGTTTAAATGCACACTGCAAATGGTACACACTGGCTGCATCAGCCTGGCCTGGAGGACTCTGGTCTTTTCTAGGAGAACGATGCAGCTCTGCCCTCTCCATCCAGGTCCCTCACCAGGCCAAACATGAAGGGACAATGTGCTTCGAGGAACAGGCAATGCTGCTCACCTGGCTGATGTCACTGGTCCACGCTGCCTTCTCCTGCCTGGATGAAGCCACCAGGATGACCGTGAAGGGTGGGGAATCCTTTGGCTCCACCCCGATCTTAAAGTCCAAGTGGTCTATGTCCTGGCCAGTTCCTTTGGCTTTTCCAGTGACAAAATATGAAGTTAGCAGAGTGAGTGTGGGTGCTTGTGAGCTGGATAAGGTTCTCTGGTCCCTGACTTGGGAACCGGTAGAGGCTCCAGGAGGATACCAGGCCACTGGCTGCTCCTCTTAGAATAATGTTTTATGATTTTGAAATGGCCAACTCACCATTTCAAAGAGGGGGGAAAAAAAACCCTGAGGATTTGGCATGCACAAGTAACTTACAGGCACAGAGACTTGTGACTCAGAGCATGAATCCCTGAGTGGTACATTATCTGCTTTTACTGCACCGATGGGTTCTGACTCAGGACGCAGCTAAGTCTACTGGCAGGGAGGCAGCTATGCCAGGGTTAGAGGGGGCCTCATAACCCAGCCTCTCTGCTAACACCTGGGACAAGTAACACTGACGTCTGAAACTTTTATGGACTGGGCTGAACATTCAGTTTGTTTTACAGCCCCCCAATGTGAAAGTAAATCCCAGGTATTTTATTGCTGATCTTCAACTCTTTTTCCTTTCCTCGTTTCAGTGCAGGGGATCAAATCCAGGGCACAACACATGCCAGGCCCTAGAACTCTTGAGAGCTGTTTACCGGAAAGACTAAGTTCACAGTATCAAGATCTCCTCTCTGGGGGCACACACTTGTGAGCTGTCTGCCTCAGTCTGGGTTCTTCTCTTGCCTTTTTGCATCCGGGTCAGGGGCTACAGTGTTTCAGCATCTGCTCTTCCGGACAAGCTCCAACCTTGCTGAATGAGCACGTGTGTGGACATGTGTTTGCGTGTGCGTGCATATGTGTGTGTGTGCGCGCACGCGCGTGTGCACTTGTGAATCTGTGTGAGTGTGCTTACAGATTAGCAGCTTGTACACTGACCTTCCTCCTCTGTGTTTTCTGGTTCCTCCAATAAGGTGCAGTCGATGAGAGATATGACTCCATTCTGAAAAAGAGCAGGAGGCACCGCTTTGGACCAGGAGTCCATGTGCCAGAGTAGAAGTCTCAGAACATCGGGATGGGAAGAACCTCTACACCAAGCAACCACACATTCACACGGCACGTGTGTATGCATGTAGCATATGCCGAGTGGGCACTCCTTTGCAAGCGAAGGACATTGGCTTCCTTTACAAAGCCCACCAAGGTGGGTGAGATGAGATATCTCAGCGAGACCACTCCTGACGAAGGCTGAGGTCAGGTTGTGGGCAGATGGGCCAGAATCTGTCCTGTTGGGCTTCTTTTTGCTCCGTCAGCATTTTTGAGAATTACTTCATGGCCCCAAATCTATAAAAATTTGAAATCCCCTGTTCTTGGCCAATCCTTCATGTTACCAGCAGTGAAACGGGCCGGCTTTATGGCTCCATTATATTGCTAACTCTATTTGATGGATTTAGAAATGAGGTCAGAGCAGTTAATGAAGTCTGCTCAAGACACCTGGTCAGCTCTTGTGGGTGGGGGTCCCGAGAAAGCCTCAGGGGCCTCATCCCAACTCCAGGTCGACACTCATTTCCTCCCTTTCATTTCTTTGACACTGTTGTTGTGAGAAGAGAATCTGGTGGCAGTCCCCTACCCACACACGCTTTGACACCCCCTTTTGAAAGTGAAAGAATAGCTCCCTTCCTCTTGGTTGTGGGCTGGGCTGTGACCAGCGCTGAATGAAAATAACCAAATGACAGCAATAGCCCCTGCTTCCCATAGTAGGGAACCCATTTGGAGACTGAGCTGCCTAACAGCTACACCTGAGCAGAGGGGCCTGGGTCCTCCCTATGCATGGTCCTTGGTTGGGTAGGAGAGGAGGGCTCCCCCTTCCTGAGGATCAGGGGAAAGAGATGGGGGGTGGGGAAGACTATGATAGGGATGTAAAGTGAATCAACTAAAAATAAATTAAAAAAAGAAAACAGCCAAATCACAGCGAAGGTATGCAGCTCTGGGAACTGTAATTTCCTGCTCGCTTTCTTGTTCTCTCCTGGATCATCTGTCCCACGAGAAGCAAGTGCCACGCTGTGGGGAGAGGTGAGGAGTTGAGGTCTCCGGCCAACAGCCCTGTGAATGACCCATCTCGGTTGGGTAAGCCTTTTAAGCCCTGTGATTTGGCAAACATTGCTATTGCAAACTGGTGCCCTGAGCCAAGACCACTTCTAAGCCGCTCCTGACCTCCTGACCCACAGCAACTGTGAGGCAGTGAGTGTTTATTTTACAAGAACTGATGTTAACATAGACCCAGCCACATGACTGATCTATATATGAAAATCCTGGGCAGGCTGCCCACTTATTTTTTGTTACAAAACTCAGAACTTATTTTTAACCGCTTGCCTGGGTCATTATGGTCTCATGTTATACAAGCTGCCACTGGTTAGGAGAACATCTGAGGGGATTCCCAGGCTCTGGGTCTGCTTCCTGCTTCCTTATTCCGTGGCCTCGAGACATTCCCAGGACTTTTGAACAGTAACCTTGCCCTGTGATTTCACTGGGCTTGATGATCCTGGAAGCCTTCTGAGCTCTGTCGTTCTCTTATTTACTTGCAGTGCTCAGGTTAGAACCTGGGGCCCTTCTGCATGCTAGGCAAGTGCTCTACCACTAAGCTTCGTCCCAGCTGGCATTCTCTTGCTGGCTTGTAATAGATCAAGAATCTATTATCATCTCTTACTTCCTTTATCTCACCCATGAACTGGGAAAGTAACTGTCTACCTCAGGGGTGTTCTAGAAATTAAATATGAATAAAACACTTGGGATGAGGACTGGTCATGGTAATCATTACATTGGAGGCCTTGCTGTCAGTAATATGACCAGCTCATTATTATAGGATAGTGACGTATCGTAGCGACTGTTAAACTTATTGAGAATTTATTGTATCGGGCCCTGGGACTCCTTCAGCATTCCTGGGAAGTATTTTTATATCCATTAAGCAGATAAGGAAACTGAGGCTTATTAAGGTCACATGACTTGTCGGAGGTACGCAGCAGTGCTAGAATTCGGTCAGCGCTCTGATCATGAATTCTTTACCAGCAAGCTATTTTTTAAAAATATAGTTTTATTTTAATTTGTGTGTGTGTGTGTGTGTGTGTGTGTGTGTGTGTGTGTGTGTGTGTGTGTGACCAGGTGCCCATGAAGGCCAGAGGAAGAAGTCCGATCCTTTGGAGCTGGAGTAACAGGCGGCATGAGCCTTCTGATGTTAGTGCTGAGAACCAAACTGAGTCGTCCGGAAGAGCAGCGAATACTCTTCACTACTGAGCCATCTCTCCAGCTCCAAGGCTAACCTTTCACAACTCAAAACTAACTTAGAGAAAACAATCAGTGTGAGAACAGGGACTTCCAAACTCAGATCAGGAAGCTGCCTTCGAGTCTTTGGTGCAACCTGTCTGTGCTTACTTCACTGCTGAAGGACGGGAGAGCTGACCATCCCGACCTGGACAGAGACATCTGGAGTAGAACTCAGAGCTAACAATTAATGAAAGCCTCCCTTGGCACACAATTTGGTCGGAACTGGAGTGTTTAATATTTGTAAATTAATTTCTCCGTGTGCAGCCAACCATCTAATTTGTTGACATGTTAACATAAGCGGTATATTCCCTGAAGCCGGTGCTTAATCTAATAGCTCGACGGGAGGCTACGGACCAGGCATCCAGGTCCCTGAAGGAAGGCTTCCCTGATTGCTCTCACTTAATTAAGGGCACCTTCTGGCCCTTTCCAGGCTGCAGCAATGTTCACACTTGAAATCCCATCTGCTTCCATGGGATGGACATAGTGTGGGGAGAGATGGCGGCACAGAGGGACAAGACCTTGTAATCAGCAGAGCAAACTCATAGGCACTGTCAGCTCACTGTCAGCCACCTCATGCAGTGTTTCTGTGTGGACTGCTATCTTTGTTTGACTGATGAAATGTACACAGGGCAAAGACATTTCCAGGGTCACATGGGTGACGGATTTAGGGATAGCTGGGGTTCAGAGCGGTGAAGCAGGCAATGAGTTGTGTTGGGGAGCAGTAGTTTTGACTTGAGCCCGAGGCTTTACAGCAGAGCTGCTTTTGAGCAGGTGTTGAAGGACATGCTTGAAAGGTCTTGCTTGCTTGTCTTGCTCAAAGGATATGCTTGAAGGGTCTGCTGAAGAAGAGGTAAGGCTGTGCACATGAGTACACAGCAGGAGCAAAGGTCCTGGGGTCCTGGTGCTTGCTTCTTTCCCTCTCCCTACTGGAATGAGCCAGGCCAGTGAGTTTAAGCTACAAGAAGGAAGACCTGGTGACAACTGTTCAGCAGCCTTCCACAGTCATCTGGCTTGAGGAAGGCTTCCTGTGATAGAGTGAGTGAGTGTCTGGGAAGGTCATGAGGGTTTTGTCTGAGAACTTTTGCCCAGAGATGACAGAGAAAGATGCTATGTCTTGTTCTAACCTTCGTCTGGAGGGGGCGCTCCACTCTCTCCAACACCTCTATCCACATACCACCCCCACATACATACACACATACACACTTGCACAATCATATGACCATACTTGTGCCTTGAACGGTTGGTTAGAACTGACCAGCTGTGGGAGTCCCTGGGGCCTGGCACCACCTCAGCTCCCCTGGTTTCTTCAGGGTGAAGATATCAGGGGCTGTTCTGCTCATTCTCACTGTCAGCTTAACCAAGGTGTGTATGAGTGTGTACAGGTCTGGGCTCACACACTCACAAACTCTAACTTAAGTGCCTCAGCTCACTACTGTAGCATCAGCCTCCGGTCCTGAAGTAAAGGAGGAGACGGTGGGCCTGAACCCCAGGCCCTTCAGCTCCTCTCCTAGGCCCTTACCTTGGTCAGGTGCAGTTTCCCTCCAGAGCCTCTGGTGCAGATGATGAGGTGCTTGGAGAACAGGAAGCACTGCCGCTCACCCTCCTTCTTGAGGGACAGAGACCCCAGGCGGCCCCTGGTGATCTTGCCCTTTTCTGACATGGGCACCTGGATGAGGGAACCTGTGGGAGCAGGAAGTGGTCCTCAGATGACACCGATGATGCTACCCTCTGGACCAGCCTCGGGGGGTTGAGGTGCAGCCGAAATCGGTCGTGGAACAAGGTAGTCCCAATGCCCTGGTCACTCCTTCCAGCCTAGCCTCAGAGCCAGGTGATGGGGATAATGAGAGCTCTCTACGGAGTCTCACACCCTCCCAGCCAGGGACCAGGGGCTTGGCAAGCAAAGGGACCCTAAATGAAATGGGGAGCTGGGCTGAGGGCTGGAAATGGCACTGAACGATGGAGCTGCACAAACGGGGAGCCTGGAGGCAGGTTCTGGTGTATTAGCATGATACATTGCACAGCTGTGGCCACAACAGGCATCACCAATTAATCTCGGCACTTAGCTGCAGAGCCCAGACTGAGTATGTGAATCTCAGTGTAGTACAGTACAGTTGAAAGCCGTTGCTGGAGAGAGTGGGTAGCTCTCTTTGTTCCGGCTGTCCCACTCCACACATGCTTTATAGGTTTCCTCCCCGTTGTTCTCACTGTCCTTATCGACCAGGCACTCAGGACTCCTCAGCATGGTCTGCATTGGGTTCTCCTCCCAGCTCCTCTCCTGTCTGTCACCATTACTCTCTCCCATAGCAAATGTCATCCTAGACCCCACTGCCTAGCTTCTTGACTCCTCTGCTGTGCGCTGCATCTGGGCTGTCCATCTGTGACAGGTCTTCTTCTGCAGGCTGGGGCTGACTCCATTCTCTGGGGACCTGGTGTGCACAGGGCAAGGGTCAGTGTTGGCTGCGTGGCTGAAAAGCAGGAAGGGCTGGGAAGAGCTCTGGGCCCTGTTCAGGGATCCATCGGGGCACACAGGCAAGGGAGGAGTTTCCCATAGAACATGCAGCTGCGTGAGGCACCCTTCAAATGTATTACAGTGTTGATGTCTCTGGGCCATCAGGAGCTCAACAAGGGTCAGGCCATCCAGACCCATTCTCAAGACACCAAGTCTGAGGAGCCGGAGGTGGGAAGACCCACTTCAGTGGGAACCACAGAGCACGGGGCTCCCTCCCATTACCTTCAGTAAGCACCTGCTGTCCCTAGGGCCAGTCGCTATCTGTCCACATCCTGCTTCCTACTTTACCCACCAAAGGACAGGCAGGTCAGAGGTGACAACAACAACCACAACCCATCGCTAATTAGGACATTAGACACGTATTTGGTCTGAGGGAACCTGAGAACCAGTAGTGTGTGTGTGTGTGTGTGTGTGTGTGTGTGTGTGTGTGTGCGCGCGCGCGCACGTGCACACGCGCATAAAGGTTCTGCTCCCGAGTGGAACTTTTGCACCCTTAGCAGTCTGGAACATTCCGAAATCACAGTTGCAGGCTAGGCCACTGGCGTCCCCGAGTGCCATCCACCGTCCCCGAGTGCCATCCACCGTCCCCGAGTGCCATCCACCCGTTGGGACCCTTCATCGGGGTGATGAGTAGCTGCCCTACCTTGCCGCACGAAGGTCTGGCTGGTGTCGAGGAGGATCTCACAGCCCTCGATGATCATGCGCTCGATGGCCAGATTCTTCCGGATGTTCTCTGTCTCACTGACTTCGTCATGCATGATCCTGGGGAGGCAGGAAGTAAGACTGGGGAGGCGGGAAGTAAGAGGCGCGCTGTCCCACGCTCAGGGAGGGCAATGCTGGCTCCCTGGGCAGACCCAAGAGGAGAGGGCGATTCTCAACCGTTGAGCGCCAGTTGTATGCTGGACACTGCCCAGGCTTCATCTTGTTTAATCCCCTGGTTGCCCAAATCACCAGGTGCTTATTTTAGAAAGACTGGAATGGAAATTGGTGGCTCGGAAGAGGGCCCAGTCATATTTCAAGTGCTGACCATTGTAGGATAGATAGCAGATCCAGCCGAGGAGGGAGATGTGAGCCCAGGACACTCTTATTTACTACCCATATCTTACTATACACTGTTCTCATCTGCAAGCAAAGTTCATTACCCCTGTACTCTTTTCCTCAGGCTCTTCTCTCCTTCTTGCTGGGAATATTTACTACCCGTATCTTACTATACATTGTTCTCATCTGCAAGCAAAGTTCATTACCTCTGTACTCTTTTCCTCAGGCTCTTCTCTTTTTGCTGGGAACTGAACTCAAGTCAAGTGCTCTACCACTGAGTTATGTCCCAGATCTTTCTCCCATATCTTTACAAGGCTGTGCTTTTAATGTTGTATAGGCCCTGGAAGGGGAGTGCCAGGCAATTCTGCTGGATCAGGGAAAGACTATCTGCCTTCCGGGAGGAAAAGAATCTTTTCTGTCCTCTGCAACTCCAATTCCCTCCAGGAGATGGTGCCATTTAATTACTTTGAAAAAAAAATAGTGTGTGTGTGAGTGTGTGTGTGTGTGTGTGTGTGTGTGTGTGTGTAGGGGGGTGGTGTTCTCTGGCAATTTTGCCCTGGTGGATTCCCAGGCTTCTTAGGAAAGCAATGAATACTTTTGGGAGGGGGAAGCGCTGGAGAAATCCCTACCCACTTCAAGAAGAGCACATTTTCTGCCGATTTCTGAAGTTCTACAGTCAATGTCACCAAGAGGGCTGGCGACCATGTGTTTAACCTCAGAGGAGAGGTGCTTGGATGGGCTATGAATGGGTAAGCCACTCAAGCCTCATCCTGTTGACCCTCAGTTCCCCGTGTGCAGGATGCTGTGGAGGAGGAGGGGCTCAGCATTTCAGTTTTCTGCTTTAGGACTCTCATTTTAGCTTAAACTCTCTGGGATGTCTAGACTGGCTCTCTTCTCTAGCAGCCTCAGTTTCCCCTATTCCTCCTCAGAAAATCTTTTCTCAGACTCCTGGTTCCTGGAGACGTGGTCCTGCTTGCGAAGTGGCCAATGGCAGAGAGAACATTTCTCACGGTGAGGGTGAATTTTTGCTGGGGAATGTTGGACTCTGAAAGGCACAAAGCGGTGACGCCACAGTGGCAGGCAGACTTGCCAAGGGCGGCCTACAGTTGGCGAGAACAAGTTCTGCTGCAGACAGAGACTGGTGTTGGGGACCCACGTGCACACATAGCTAGTGAGTTCTTTGGGGTCCTGGAAGTGATGGTCTGTGTTATCAGTGGTGCTACAGTGGTTGAGGATAAAATGTCAAAACAAAGGCCTGGTCCATAGAATGCTGGTCCATAGGTGCTGGAGGAGGTACAGTTCTGAGAAGAGCTAGTTGTCAGGGTTGGAGAAGACGTTTTTCCTAGCCTAGCCTGGGCAGCGCTTGGCAATTTGATAGTTTCCTCTTGCCGGGACACTTCCATCAGCACTCTGTTGGGGAGGACGAGAGAACACTCCAATGTGCCATAAGGGCTGGGCCAGGGGCAGCTGCAGGTGTTGGGTGCAAGGAAGAAAGAGTAGGAGGCACACCAAGGTCTTAGGTGAAATACCTCGGCCTCTCAGGCCATCTGTATCCCATTTGTGCCAGGACATGCATTCCTCAGTTATGAGGAACCTCAGAGGCATCCTAGGCCTTTTCCCTGGGGAAGGAGGAAAGTGTAGGACTTGTTTCCTGAACATGGTAGATAGAGAGTCCTTTTCTCCTGCCGTTGGCTCTGCCCCTCTGCAGTCACACCCTAATACCATGCTTACCTGGTCCCCCTTCATGACTCAGCAACTCAGTGGAGTCTCGGATGGATCAGGTTGGACAGCCTGTCCCCTGCCTGTCCTAGCCTATTCCTCTGCCTAGCTTGGAGCTGAGACCTATTTGTTATCCTTTGTGGGCTTCGGGAAGCTGAGTCTCCTTGATGCTCACTCCCAATCCTCTCTGCCTGACCACAGGACCCATCCGCATGTTGTGCCCTCCATCCAGGCTCATTGCTAGGCTCTGGTGTCTTCCTGTTTGAAGTGGCCCCCGAGGCAATCTCATAGCACAGTCATCACCGACGGCTCTCAATTCCAGGCTCTATAACCCGCCATTCTAGTCTCCTCCACTTGGGGATGGAAAGGCGTCTCATCTGGGATCCCTAGTTTCTCATTCTCCCACCCAGTCCACTGGGGAAGCCTACTGACTCCGCTTTGTGCTCTACTCCCTATCTAGACCACTTTCTACCCCACCCCCAGCACCTCAGTGGGTGTGGCAGGGCTCCCCTCCTGCTTCTGCTCTTGCAGAGGAAGGCTCCCTCTGGACTGCAGGACAGACAGAGGGCCTGGCGGGGGATGCTGAACCAGAGTGTCTGAAATGGTCACAGTTTTTGCATCTGTCATCTTTGGCTGCTGATGGGGACTCCAGCGAGGCACCTGGGACCCCCATCCTTGGTGGGCTCTTATCACTAAATTTTTTTGCTTGTTTTTTCGAGATAAAGCCTCACAGGTTCCAGGGTAGCCTTAAAATGTAAGCTATGAATTTCCTGTCTCTGTTCTGTAAGTGCTAGGGTTAGCAGGTGCCACCATACCTGGTTTTATGTAGTACTGGATACTGAGTGCAAAGCTGGGCAAATACTCTATCAACTAAGCTGTATTTCTGCCTTGTTTTTGTTTAAAACACACACACACACACACACACACACACACACACACGTATATATGATGGCTCTACTTAAATGCCAGGGTTCTGCAAACTCTATCTGTGCCAGGGACAGCACCCAGCCCATGCTGCTTCACCCCAGGCCCATGTGTAAGCTGCACAGGTCCGTCACGGGACCCAGCTTTGAAGTCAGGCAGGCTATGATTTTTTTTTTCCTGAGGAAATACTCGGCCCTTCCCTGCCCACCCTCTGCACCCTCACTGTACACTCACCTGGACAGCTCCTCTAGTTTGGATTTGGCATAGTCCAGGCTGTTGCGCTCCACGTGCTCATGAGGTGTGTGGGCCAGCAGTTCATGGAGTGTCAGGATGTACCTGGGGATCTGTGAGTGGCAGGAGACACGGAGGGACAGAACCAGAGAGATGAGGGATGGGTGGAAGGACAGGAAGGGAAAGAGAGACAAGCAGGGAGAGACAGTGATGGCAGACAAGAGATGCAGGGCAACGAGGGAGAGAGACGGAAGGCAAGACAGAGAGGCAAGATGGTTCTTTGAACCCAGTAGGCTGAGGAGGGAAGCAGGCTGCATCCCTGATCTGCCAGGAGAGCCAAGGCAATAGGGGCCCCCGTGTGACTGTCTCTGGGAACTGCCCCTCACCTTCCCCACTGCCGGAGTGGACAGGTGCATGTGTGGTCAGATAGCTCTCCACCTGCCAGGGTTGTTGAGGACTGTGTCCCGCCAGGCTGTGCCCTCAGTGCCCCCGCCCCAGCCTGCTCCCTTGAAGGTCACAGCAGCCACCTGGAACATGGGGTAGGTGAGGAAGGTCTCCAGCGTGCGCTCTTCGCAATCTGGCTTGGCTTCATACTGCTTGAGGAGTTTGTCAAAGTCCCGGTTCTGCTTGCAGTGAGCCAGGATCTGGAGGCTGTACTGGTGGTTGCGCACGAACTCCTGATAGATGTTGAGCATGGGCAGCAGGATGTCGAACAGGTCGGCTGCGGGGTAGGCGGGGTCAGCAGACCAGAGGGACCCCGGGGCTAGACGTCCCCAGGCCTTTGGCCCATCGGCCCACCCAGGGAGCCTGTGTGCCAGGTTCAGATCCCCACTCCAGAGAGATCCCACCTTGGGCGTTACACTGATATACCAGCCCTATCAGAGGTGGGTTTAGGACTGAGGCTTGGAGGCGTGCATGGGCTGTCTTGTGGCAGCTGTGACTGGGGAGGCTTGGAGAGATGGAGTCGAGGCCCGTGGAGGCCTGGTGGCTGTGGCTCCCAGGGGTCCTGCTTTGGGAACCATCTCCAGAAAGTAGCCTTGGTGGAGGTCACACCTTATCTCATGGTCGACCCATGCGGAGTGTGGCCAGCCTCTCCTCTCGAAGTGTCTTTGTAAGAGGTAGGATCTGTGTGTGTGTGTGTGTGTGTGTGTGTGTGTGTTCATGTGCGTGGGTATGTGGGTATACTGGTGCACCTCTGTGCGTTTGTATGTGGAACTCAGAGTTCAGCCTTTGGTATCATTCCCCAGGAGCCTTGTTTTCTGAGAGAAGGTCTCTTACTGGTACCCTGGGCTTGCTAACTAGACTAGTCTGGCCAGAAAGCCCCAGGGACCACATGTCTCTGCCTCCCCATCACTGACTGGGAATGTAAGTGCGTGCCACTTAAAAAAAAAAAGTGTATTTACTTTTATTTCGTGTGGTGTGTGTTTTGTTAGGTCTCAAATAAGCCCTGAACGAATGGCTAACTGAGGTGTCTATTAACATATCATAGCAGAAAACTGGCCAACAGATTCTCGAGGCAAGTCAAGCACCTGTTTTTCTGTCCTGGTTCTCATCAGTACTTCTCACTCTCGTCTCTATCCTAAACCTCTCCCCGCCCCAGCTTCGCTTCCCTATTGGCTACGTGCCCTCTTGGTGATCTTGGTCTCTTGGTTTCTCTTTTGGCTTCCTTCTCTCTCCTCTCTTTTCCTCTCTTGTTCTCCCTGCCTCTGTCTCCTCTTATGACTGTGTTCAGTCTTCTGGTCCGGTTCAGTCCAGATCCTTCCATATGCTGTTTTGTCCTTCATATCTATTATAAAAACCTCCTCAACCATACTGAGGAACGGCCACGTCCTCATATTTCAGGCATGCTTTGCCTATGTAAATACACCACTTGCATGCAGTACCCATATTGGCCAGAAGGGGCATCAGATTCCCTTGGAATTAATGTGGGTGGGTGAGAACCATGCCTGAGTCCTCTGCAAGAGCAGTAAGCACAATCCCACCAGGCCCTGGGTTTAGCGTTTTAGGTGGCTTGTGAGGATTGCACTAACCATCATTCCTTTGAGGCAAGCACTTTACTGACTGAGGTAGTTAGTTCCCTGGCCCCATAAAGCAGGGTTTTTGATACGAGAAACATCCAAAGAGTGGAGGGGGCTTGGAGAGCTACATCTGGCCCAGCTCTGACTCTTAGTGGGGCCCTCCCCTCTGCAGTGAAGGGAACACTGGTGTTGATCTTTCCTGTTAAAGCGAGAATGTGAGAAAGCAACAATAACGAAAACAAACCTGTGCTCAGGCCTGGCACAGGTTTGGTACAGTGGAAGGGTATGCTGTGCCTCAATCCTGGGACCCTACAGCACAGCCTTCTAGGCAATGGAGATGAATCCAGAGCCTTCGTTCTAGTAATTCAACGTCTGGAAACCTATTCTCTATGGAAATGATCCCTAAAGATTTGCAACAGCTCAGAAACAAGAAGAAGAGTTAGTTAGGGACACTGGAGCTTTATGCAGCCATCAAAAACCTCAACATGAGAAAATTGGTCCTGAGAAAATGCTCTTTTACAATGCTGAGCTAAAATGCAAAGCACATTGCCAGGCGTGGTGGAGCACACCTTTAACCACAGTACTTGGGAGGCAGAGGCAGGCAGATCACTACCAGTTCAAGGCCAGTCTGGACTACACAGGAAGTTCCAGGGCAGTTAGGGATGCACTAGAGACCCTGTCTCGAAATATTTATAATGATAATGATAATAATGTAACAGCATAATGTAATAATATAATGTAAGCAAATGAATGAAATGTTTGCTACAAACAAGCTTCAGACTCTTTAACTCAGTGTGTTTTCAGTCATGTGAAATGGAAAAAGAAAACTCCCAGACTCTCAGGGCCCCTGTGCAGGAAAATTTGGAAGGGGGCACAGCAGTGATTGGGGTGGTTGTCTTTCTCCTCCTGGGGACTCTGAAGTCTATAGGGTGCCTCACTGTGATGATCTGGAGGGACAGAGCCATCTCCTGCCCAGAAGGGGACTACGTGGGCCCCTACTCACCCAGCACCAGGGTGGGCCAGCTGGAGATGCGGGCCTTCAAGCCTTGGTAGAAGATCTGATGCAGGAACATGATGGTCTCGCTGAAAGAAAAAGCACTGGTGGGCTCCTGCCTGGGCTTCTTACCTCCCGGGGAGGGCTCTGCTGGATACATTAGTGCCATATTAAATGCGGGGCCCTCGCCGGGAACTCCAGTCATCTCAGGGTTAAGTGGCAGGACACAAACCTCCACACAAGGCCCTCTGTGTTGGGGATGCCAGCCCACCAATGGCAGAGAAGAGTTGCTGTGATCGGCAGCCCAATGGTGCATGAGAAGCCCTCCCCGCTCTCTCCCTTTACTTCCCTGCCTCAAGGTATGAGAGAGACCTGGAGAATAGAGAACCCCAGCCACTGTCAGTGGGAAGAGATGGGGCTTGGAGTCCCGCAGAATGTAACTCCTATCTGACTTATGCTCTGTTCTAGCTGTGTGTCCTCCTGCACGACGCCTAATATCAATGAAGTTCAAATCCTTCTACTAGGGGAAATAAGCCAAAGTGAAGGGTCTCTTGTAATGATGGGGCTGCCTGGTGTACAGTAGGAGCCTACCAGAGCCTACATTCCCCACTGTCCTTTTAATGCCTGATTCATTCTCTTTCTCTATGCCTCGCCATGTCTCCTTTTCTCCATTTTCCTTCCCATTCTCCTTGTCTCTGTCCTTCTCACGTCCTTTGCTCATGGACCCTGCTCTACTCCCTCTGCTGTTCTCTGCTCCCTTGCCTCTTCCACCTGCTCAGGCAGTGCTGATGTAGTAAGACCCCCTCAGAGCACAGATTTCTGGGAGGGAGAACACAGCAGAGCAGAGGGCAGAGCCTGGTCACAGGGAAGCCCCTCCCAGCAGGCAGAAGATAAGCACCAGACACTGGGATCTGCACCAGCCAGAAGAGGAAGCTCTTTAGATCCCAATCCTGCACAGCCCAGTGTAGCAACAGACCAGGGATGTCTGCCTGAAGGCATTGCAAGGGCTGGCTCCAGACCATACAGCAAAGCAAACAGGCTAATTAAGAGAGTCACAAGATTTTTTTTACCCCTCTCTCAATGTTTGTTAAAAGTTGTATTTCCACTCCTCTTAAGTTTACATGTGCACTAAGTTTACATGTGATCCCTCTCTCTCTCTCTCTCTCTGTGTATTTGGTATATACACACCTGTGTATGTCAGAGCGAGAGCCCATTTGCATGAGTGTGGAGGCCAGAGGTGAGAATCAGGCATCCCGCTCTATCACTCGCTGCCTTATTCCTTTGAGGTAAGGTCTCTCACTGAGCCTTGAACTGGGCTGACAGCCAGCAAGTCCCAGCCATCCTTATTATTCTGCTCTCCACAGCATTGGGGTTAAAGGCATATGAAGCCATGTCAGTTTTATTTATTTGTTTTTACATGAGTTCTGGGGATTCGAACTCAGGTCCTTATGCTCATCTAGCAATTGCTCTTGCCCACTAGCAATCTCCCCAGCCCAGGTATGATGCCTTCAAAAATCCACACAGCTTAACTGAGAAATATTTCCTTGCTGAAAGATGCTAATGGCTGCCTGAGTCCTCAGCAAGCCAATCTTGCTGGCGGAGGGTCTTGGCAGCAACGTTGAGCACCATGACCAATGAGATGGTTGGAGTGGCTGTGGTGACTTCTTAAAATGAGGCATCCGTGAACTTTCCCAGATCCACCGACCCCTCTTTTTCAGGACAGGAGTTCTCAGGTCCACATTTTATGGCCTGAAGAACTTCCAAACTTAGACCCTCAGACCCTGCTGCTGCTACCAGCCAAGTTCCCGCAGCACTGCCGATCCTCTGTCATGTCAGAGTGTTCCCAGGGTCTCCAGGGGCAGGAGCCACCTGAGGACACCAATTTCTTTGCTTATATCCCGAACTGCAGCCCTTCAGTCTCGTCTTTAGACTCCAGTCCCGATCCCAGTTCTTTGCTGTTTCCTCTACACCTGAGGTGAACCCCTCTGTGGAGGCCTTGGATGCCTCCACGTCACCTGTGAGAGTTGGAACCCATCTTCTTCCAAACTCCCATTAATGTTAATATCTGTCCTTTCCCATGAATCACAGATGCTCTTCCTGGCATCTACAATGGTGCGTGTCTTCCAGAAACTCTTGACATAACTTCGACCAGACCCTTCAGAAGAATCCCCTTTTGTGGCAGCCTTACAAAAATATATTACTTAGATTATCAGATTTGGAAGTTGATATTCCTCCTTGAGGCACCAGCTGCAGAGCAGATGTCATTAATAGCTGGCATGAAATAAGCATTTGCTTTGAACGTCTCCATCATGGCTCGGGGGTAACCAGGCACCCTGTCAATCACCGGTACTCTTTTGGAAGGAATCTTTGTTCTTCCCTCGCATTAGGTCTCAACAGAGGACTTCCATGGTATCTATAGATGTGCTTGGGCTCCCTTCACAGAGCACAGGTGAGGAAGATTCAGGATCCTGACAATTCAGAATTTTAAATGACCACTGGCTTAGACTCCATGTCTAAGTCCTTAACAAAACAGTTGGTTCTTTGAAGCTCCAAAGCCAGATATCAACTTCTCTGTAGCTGTGACAGTCTCCCATGGGGCTGTCTGTTCGGTCACGCTCTCTGGCCCACGTGTGGAGTGCAGCCGCCTTCATGGGTTTTCTCTGATCCATCTTCCGGATCACTTACTCTGGTTTCCCCATCAGCACCTGATGCATCATCTTGCACTGTAAGTTGGAGAAATGACTTCTCTCCACAAACCTCTGCCAGCTGCCACAGCATCCTCACCTCTCAGCTTTTCCAGAGTTGAAGAGAGTTAGCACATCCTTCTGGATTAGGTCCCAACCTCAGGCAATGCCACTGTTTGTTTGAGCTCTGGGACCACTCAGAAGGTCTCTCTATGACTGCCAGCTTTCCCAGTTTTGGGCTGTTTACAAGACCAGCACCTTCTTTTTTATATTTATTTTTTTTATTATTTTTGATTATATGTCTGAGTGTAGGTATGTGCCCATCAGTGCAGGCATCTGAAGAGGCCAGAGGCATGGGCACTAGGAGAGTTATGGGCAGTCATGTGCCACCTAACATGGGTGCTGAGAATCGAACTTGGGTTCTTTGCAAGGGCTGAGGGAGTACTTAACTCCTGAGCCTGGAGACATTTTCTAATTTTCCTTCAAGGCCCTTTTCTTTGCCTTCGCAACTCGGCTGTTTGTTTCGACAAGCTTGGCTCTCAGGCCATTCAGCTCTCAGTAGGTTTTTCTCACTGAGAGATGTTTTCGCTCAAGATTAAAAATAGAGTATCGAGACTGTGTTTTACTCACACACTTAGGGTCACTGTAGAGTTATTACTCCAATTTCAGTATTGTCTCTGGGGACATGGAGGCCAGAGTACAGTAACTGAGAGAGAGCAATGGCCAGCTGGTGGAGCAGCCAGAACATATGTGACATTCATTGTATCAAATGGATCATCTTTTTGTTTTGTTTTACACAGGGTTTCTCTGTGTAACAGCTCTGACTGTTGTGGAACTCACTTTGTAGACCAGACCTGGCCTTGAACTCATAGAGACCCACCAGGCTCTGCTTCCTGAGTGCTGAGATTAAAGGCATGTGCCACCATGCCTGGCCTCAAGTGGATCATGTTAAGATTCATGGTATCTGGGCATAAGGAGTGCCATGGACTCTGTTGGCTGCTTTTTGATCACTATCCCCTGGTGGGGTTGCCTCACCAGGCCTCACAGGAAGATGAGCTCAGTCCTGATGTGATTTGAACTGGGGTGGGTGGAGAGGGGTAGCCTCCCCCTCTTTTTTTTTGAGGAATAGGGGAGGAGGGATGGGAGAACAGGAAGGGAGTGTGGAACAGGCAGGAGAGGAGGGAGGGGCTATGTTAGGGATGTAAAGTGAATAAATAATTTAATAAAAAAAGATTCATGGTATCACAAACAATTAAATCATAATATCAAAGGTCACTTGTCACAGACCATCATAACGTAATGAAATTTGAAATTCCACAAGAATTACCAAATGTGTCAGGGACATAAATGGAGCCTGTGCTGTTTGATGGGAATGCTCTGTGAAGGGTAGTCACGAATCTTGCATTGTGAAAAGCCACATTTGCCCAGCATAGTAAATGGCAAATCTGCAGAAAACGAAGCATCCCTCCTAAAAGTGTGGACTCCGAGAACTTCACCATAACCTGAAATTGCCACTGTTTCCCACCCTGTAAGAAAAAACCCAATGAGTTCCTCTTTTTGTTAAAAAAAAAAAAGATGGGTGTTGGCCTCGGGAGATGGCTCTGTGGATAAAGTACTTTCTGAACAAGTGTGATGACCTGAGCTTGCATTGTAGAACACAAAGAAGCTGGATGTAGCAGCATGTGCCTGTAACTCAGCACTCTTTTGAGGAGATGGGAATTAGGGACAGGTGTCCATGGCCGTAAACAACAAAGAGATCCTGTCTCAAACAAGGTAAAAGGAGAAGACAGACGGACAGATACACAAGCTTTTCCTCTGACCTGCACATGCATGTGCCTACACTCACGTGCAGGAACACACACACACACACACACACACACACACACACACACACACACACACACAC